ATATAATTAATTAAGTTGCTTAAACAAAATAGAAACAAAACGGCATCATGCATGTACGTATAGTTTAATACAAAGGACCGAAAACTAATCACAAAGAGTACTTCTTCATTTAAAAACACGAGATGCAGTGGGATGGGGGAAAAACCACCATAAAGTCTCAAGACATGTTTTTTAAAAGTTGAACTTTCATTAATTTTACATGGCTTTCTAAACATGCGTCTCTCTTGTGCGAGACGCGAGTGCAACGCTGATAGATGCCTCTCTAGAAAATGCGATAAATATGCGTTCTGTGTGAACGGCTTGGTTTCAGTTTTGACGTAAACAACATCTTTTCCACATTGATGTTCTCTTTCCGCAATATTTTGAATGAACAACGTAGCAGCGCCGCATCTAGTGGGTTCACCTGGATAAGCTATGAAAAGCATTAAAATGCAACGACACTCGCATCGTGTGTCGATACAGCTGCCTGGCTCACACCTAACATTCGAATGCAATGTGGAATTATATTCTAAATTCAATGAACATTCGAAATTCAAATTATTTTTTGACAGCCCTAAACGGGAGTTTCATAGCTTTCAGTTGATGTTAGCCGTGAGGTCATCTATACACTGCAAAAACTGACGTGATTTTAACGGTAAAAGACTGTAAAATGCTACAGTAAAGCCTATTAATTGATTAACAGTAAGTTCCCTACTGTATTCTGTGAAAAACTGCATTGGTCATTGCATGTAATTTTACGGTAGCATACAGGTAATAAGATGTGTAATAAAGGAGGATAGAGCAGCAGAGGAACACTCACAGTTTGTTGCCCTTCAGAGCGGCGTGCTGCAGCAGGTTGAAGCCGCGGTTGTTCTGCTGCGTGAAATCAATGTTGAGCACCACAGTCAGAATCTCAATGATGCTCCTGAAGTCTTTGGCAATGGCGTCATGTAAGGGTGTATCTCCATACGAGTCCTGACAACACCGAATTACTGCTGTTAGTGAACACTGCTCAATCTAGTTTTCACAAATGTGACTCTGGAGCACAGAAGCAGTCATAAGCAGCACAGGTATATTTGTAGCAATAGCCAACAATACATTGTGTGGGTCAAAATTATTCATTTTTCTTTTATGCCAAAAATCATTAGGATATTAAGTAAAGATCATGTTCCATCAAGATATTTTGTAAATTTCCTACCGTAAATATATCAGAACTTAATTTTTGATTAGTAATATGCATTGCTAAGAACTTCATTTGGACAACTTTAAAGATGATTTTCTCAATATTTAGATTTTTTTGCACCCTCAGATTCCAGATTTTCAAATAGTTGTATCTCAGCCAGATATTGTCCTATCCTAACAAACCATACATCAATGGAAAGCTATTTATTCAGCTTTCAGACAATGTATAAATCTCAATTTCAAAAAATTGACCCTTATGACTAGTTTTGTGCTCCAGGGTCACATATTCTAATTTTACAGAAATGTTAAAGGGATATGCCGCCCCAAAATGAAAATTCTCTCATCATTTGCTCATCTTTCTTTTCTTTTCTAAACTCTTTTTTTTTTTTGTGAACTGCATCACATGGACTCAGAGATGGACAAGAGATGGATGGGAACTTTTAGTACTGTCTGTTGTCTAGATTCCAGGTCTGCTTATTCGCCCTTTCAACCTTCAAGTGCTGAAGCAGTAGCCTTTCAAGTCCAAAGGTTTATCGGATCGGGAGAAACATGCAAAAGCTGCACTTAAGGACTGTGCATTTACTGCAAACATGTTTAGATGAATTATGAGTTTAGCATGTATGGGATGATAATGCATGATATAATATACTATTAATAGAAAAACATCCTTTTGCTGAATAGGTGCCATTAATGTCAAATGTAAAATATTAAATTAAATATAAATACAATGTAAATGTAGCCATTTGACAATTTAGTTGTAAAAAAAAAAAA